GGCCCTCAGCTCGGTGACCTCGCACTCCTTCAGGTGCTGCACACACAGGCAGTGGGAGTGAAGCAGGTCATAGGTCAGCTGGGTGACATCCGACCAATGAACATACAGCGTACGGGATCCCAGCTGCCGGCCCAGCAGGTCTGACTTGGCGCGGGAAGCCGAGTCCTTCTTCATGTACTCCACAAAGCCGTAGCCCTTGGGATGTCCGGTAACGGCGCTGTACACCAGGAAACACCGCTCCAGATTGCCGAACGGCCGGACCAGGTCCTCGAACTGCTGCTGGGTGTAGCCGGGGGGCAGGTTGGCGATGCAGAGCAACGCGTCGGTGGGCTGCAGCTGCACAGAGATCTCCCGGTCACGGAGCGCCGTGCGGTGAAAGCGCCGGATGGCAGACTCGGCTTGTTCTCCATTCAGCAACGTGACAAAGGCTGCCGGGAACAAAACGGAGAGAGAGAACCCCTTACTAAGCGCGTCTCACCCCGGGGAACAACCCTCACCCGGCTATTCCCCCTCCATGGAAGGGATCACAACCCTCACCCGGCTATTCCCCCTCCATGGAAGGGATCACAACCCTCACCCGGCTATTCCCCCTCCATGGAAGGGATCACAACCCTCACCCGGCTATTCCCCCTCCATGGAAGGGATCACAACCCTCACCCGGCTATTCCCCCTCCATGGAAGGGATCACAACCCTCACCCGGCTATTCCCCCTCCATGGAAGGGATCACAACCCTCACCCGGCTATTCCCCCTCCATGGAAGGGATCACAACCCTCACCCGGCTATTCCCCCTCCATGGAAGGGATCACAACCCTCACCCGGCTATTCCCCCTCCATGGAAGGGATCACAACCCTCACCCGGCTATTCCCCCTCCATGGAAGGGATCACAACCCTCACCCGGCTATTCCCCCTCCATGGAAGGGATCACAACCCTCACCCGGCTATTCCCCCTCCATGGAAGGGATCACAACCCTCACCCGGCTATTCCCCCTCCATGGAAGGGATCACAACCCTCACCCGGCTATTCCCCCTCCATGGAAGGGATCACAACCCTCACCCGGCTATTCCCCCTCCATGGAAGGGATCACAACCCTCACCCGGCTATTCCCCCTCCATGGAAGGGATCACAACCCTCACCCGGCTATTCCCCCTCCATGGAAGGGATCACAACCCTCACCCGGCTATTCCCCCTCCATGGAAGGGATCACAACCCTCACCCGGCTATTCCCCCTCCATGGAAGGGATCACAACCCTCACCCGGCTATTCCCCCTCCATGGAAGGGATCACAACCCTCACCCGGCTATTCCCCCTCCATGGAAGGGATCACAACCCTCACCCGGCTATTCCCCCTCCATGGAAGGGATCACAACCCTCACCCGGCTATTCCCCCTCCATGGAAGGGATCACAACCCTCACCCGGCTATTCCCCCTCCATGGAAGGGATCACAACCCTCACCCGGCTATTCCCCCTCCATGGAAGGGATCACAACCCTCACCCGGCTATTCCCCCTCCATGGAAGGGATCACAACCCTCACCCGGCTATTCCCCCTCCATGGAAGGGATCACAACCCTCACCCGGCTATTCCCCCTCCATGGAAGGGATCACAACCCTCACCCGGCTATTCCCCCTCCATGGAAGGGATCACAACCCTCACCCGGCTATTCCCCCTCCATGGAAGGGATCACAACCCTCACCCGGCTATTCCCCCTCCATGGAAGGGATCACAACCCTCACCCGGCTATTCCCCCTCCATGGAAGGGATCACAACCCTCACCCGGCTATTCCCCCTCCATGGAAGGGATCACAACCCTCACCCGGCTATTCCCCCTCCATGGAAGGGATCACAACCCTCACCCGGCTATTCCCCCTCCATGGAAGGGATCACAACCCTCACCCGGCTATTCCCCCTCCATGGAAGGGATCACAACCCTCACCCGGCTATTCCCCCTCCATGGAAGGGATCACAACCCTCACCCGGCTATTCCCCCTCCATGGAAGGGATCACAACCCTCACCCGGCTATTCCCCCTCCATGGAAGGGATCACAACCCTCACCCGGCTATTCCCCCTCCATGGAAGGGATCACAACCCTCACCCGGCTATTCCCCCTCCATGAGAGCCCCCAGCAAGTCATGGTGAAGGGGTAAGAGGGACGTTGGAGGTCCAATCTAGGAATGTCACATGATGGATCGGCTGCCGGGTTCCAAGTACTACTCTCACCATTTCCTCCTCTATGGACCATGAGCACTCTCCTCCTCCTCCATACCATAGGGCCCCAGGGCCACACCTCAGATACAACACATTGCCAAGGGTTGGGCCCCGGCCTGTGCCCCCGAGAGCCGAGCATTGAGGGGCTCCTCCTATTAATAGA